AGAAATAAGATATGTGGGAGTTCTGTCCAATCGCAAAAGGTGGTGGTGGTGTGTGTTCTATATAGACTGGACGTCGCGTCTTTGAAAGATGCGACCTTTTAAAGTTGTTGTTAAATAACGAGTAGCCTATATATTTTGATTTTTGCAATTGAAATTAATTGGCCGATCATCTATTGTAGTTACGATTGGGTTGAGAAGAAAGTGTGTCCAGTTATTGTTGAAAATTTAAAAGCTTACCAAACCTTTTTTTCTAAAGCGAACTATATTTGTTATTAAAGTATTGTTAAAGGTTACAACTCTAAAACTAGAATTAATGTTGAAAAATGTGTTGATATACTGATATCTTTTTCATTTTTTTTTAATATCAGCTTTTTTCCAAAAATAATTTATTTGCTTTACAGTTCGCTACTCTTGTTCTTTTTTCATCATTTTGTCCCTCCAATTTTTCCAATGTAAGCATCTAAGCGGCAACAATAGAACGCTTTCCGTCTCGTAAAGCAATCATATTTTGTTTTCCATCATACATTTTTATACCGTAACAGTAATGTTGTTATATAAATATCTAGAGGAGTAAAGAATATAAAAATTACAATTTTTTTTAATCTAAAAATCTTTAAAATCATTTTTCATTAATGTAATGGTTTTAGGCATCGTATATTCGAATGTATTAACGAAGTTAATCAATAACGCGTTTAACAATTTTATTCCAATGTAGATCTCGTTGGAAATAAAATGTAGAGATTTTATTTTACGCAAGGTATGATGTTGAAAATCCGTAAATACAATGAGTTATGGATAAAGCACTAAAATCTGTTTTTTTATTGCATACAATTTTATTTACACTACAAATTATAACATTTTATTTAAACGTGTTTTTTATGTAGCACTAATATGAGGCTATAGGAAATAACTAAAAGTTCTATCGCAGATATTAAATTCTAAGACACTAACCATTTATCACTTTATCAATTTTGTCGGTAAATATTTTATAGGTATATAAAAAATATAAACTAGTTTAGAATTATTTTCATAAATAACCCAACAAATTGTCAAACATATCTTATGCGTGATTTTTTATCAACACGAACATAGTGAGTAGTTATTATGGTTTAGAAGCGACAATTTTAACGGAGTTACGAGGGTAAGATTTTCATCGTTTACTTCAAGGGTCAAGGACGAACGGGAAAATTTGTCGTGGTCTAAAATGGCCTTCGACACGATTTTTGAAGCCAATCCACACATTTTTTGTTGTTACCAACATGCAAACTGATTTCAACTGTGATTTCAAAGACATTATCCTCCAACTTTTTTTTTGCTTTTCATATTTGATCCGAACGAAATGGAGGTAATCTATAAAAATGGCTCCTATAAAGTTTTTACACCCTCAACCCCCTTAATCCACGCAGAAAGAGAGACCAAAAACCCCGATAATCTGATTTCCATTATCTAAATGACGCGTCGACGAAATGGGATAAAGTAATTAGATGCAAGAAAAATTATTTTGGGTTCGGATTGCGATGTGGGAAATTTCCAAGTTTTTTAAACTGAATTTTAACGTTTTTATGGCGGAGAACGAAGGCGGTGATAAATATCCATCTATTTTGGGAGTAAAATGCGTCTGACCCTCTGGGGAAATTGTATAAGGATCGAGCTTTGTTGAAATGAAGCAGACGCGTAGGCGCCAACACCCACTTCCGGTGCCAAAGGTCGGGTTTTACTACAAAGATCACTGCCAACTTTTAATAAAAATATATTATCTACTATATATGTATATATATATATCTAAATAAATCAATTGAGTAAATGAATTATTGTGGTAATAATTCAGAACACAACTTTCTTTATTATCCGTATGTAGTTCCATACTTTATAAAACACTTTAAATTGGTCAGTTACTGCAGCACGTCCAAGATAAATGGTGTCACATAGGAAACGTTAAACAGCCCCCGCGGGACTGTATATTTAAGTTAGTTAGTGAACCAAATTAACTAGTTTGGGGTCAGACCAAATATGAGGACGCAAACATTAAACAAATTTTAACTTGATTAATATCCTCCATTAACAACGATTAGCGTTGACCGATCTAAAATTGGCGTACTAATTTTGCCCTACTTAATTCGGTTCGAAAGGCTTGTTTACTGTATTTAATGGTTTTCAATATAACGCGGATCAATTCAGTCAATCCACCTGCGCAAAGTTCTAATTAGGCAGAGAAATATTAAGACTTCGTGTGGTTAAGGTTTAATGGGCAATACACTACATATTGGGACGCATTTACCAAGTTTCAAACTACATACTTGACTTGTAATTGAATGACTTCACTGTGTAGTAATTAAATCAAGTGATAATAGGTTGATATAAATTTATGTGCTGGTCTGAATAAAATAGAGCATAATTATTTTATTATTTACTTTTATTTAATTACCTTTTTATATGTTTAATTATTTATTATTAATTTAAAAGCATAATTTCAATATTTTGTTTGTTTGAAATTCAGAATTTCAATCATCGACCCTTCTAGTTAGAGCGTTAGTGTTGTATTATCTCTGATTATCAACGGTTAAGAAGATGTTGTCTGCTATTTAATTTGTTCTCTTTGCATATGGAACAAGCTTGAGTATTTGGTTTTTATATGAATCATTGAATGGTGACAATATGGTCACAATATGGCAACTATGGTACATTTCCTCCACCTACAATGCTTTTGCAAGATAATAATTTTATCGAAATCTATGGAACGTCTCAAATCTAAATAATGATGGTTCAACGTTTTTCATCATCTCATCATTGTCATCAAATGAGATATAATCCTCTTTGGTTTTCTCGGTTATAAACTGAATATTAAAATCAAAACTGTTACGTTGCTTCTTAATAGTTACGAATTTTATCCTCGGGGAAATATAAATTTCTGTCTACGTAATCTATCTTGAAATGAAAAACAGGGTTGGGTCGGTTTTTTAGTACAAAATATGAAAGTTGGAAAGACAAATTCATCGTAATAGTGCCCATTGCCATATTTCAGGATATTATGTATCAAAATTTGTAATATAGAAGATTTAATGTATGATAACAATTTTTTAATGTATGATGGTATGCCATACTGTTCTACAGTCTGGCATCTTCAAGGGTAGCTCTAGAAAGTTCAAACTGTCATGGGGAATAACGCAGGGTTTGCTCCTCATGATACTTCACACAGCTTAGTCCATATGTTCCAATGATGATCAAGTTGGGAAACTAGTTCTTGCACTTGTCCTGTAGCACTTTTTAATATTAACATTTCATTATTTACCTTATGCTTTATTGAAGTTTGCAGACAATTTTCTATCGGATAACATGAACATTTTGCTGTATAACTTGTGATAAGATTGTTTGTTGATGGTTAAGGTAATTGATAATGCAATTAGAGTTTTAACAGAAATATATTAATATACCAATATCAAAATAATTGATTTTTTTATAATCAAATACGATTGCACTGAAATCCGAATACTTTGCCGTTGGAACACGAATCGAATGACCCTGAACGCGCTATCTACTCGAAAGAATGTTAATTAAATGCCTCTTCAAATAGTATGGCGACACGGTTTTTTGTTGCATTTCGTGTGCAACGTAGTTGTTCGCACGATTTTCCTGTCAACCTGAATTATCGTCACGGTCCGTTTAACTTTGGAATCGTTGCTAAATAGAAATCATTTTGAACTGAAACTTTGGGAGAATACATGTTACGCATTCTATTATAATACTATATTTACTGTTTCAATAGGCCATCGTATTGTTTTCATTCCGGCGCCGCTATTCGAAGTCATTTCGAACGAATTGTATCGCTAATTGCTTCCTGAATTTATTGAGCAAATAATAATAACTCTGAATTTATTGAATGTTCCATTAAAATCAAATCAATGGACGAATAATATTTTAACGCCTAGTTTTGTTTTATATTGTTTAATATTTTGCAATATTTTTCACAATTTATTTGTTTCATTATATAAAAAATTCAAAATAAAATTGGACGTAATTTTTTTTAGCTTGTGTCAATAACAGTTTGGGCTGTAATCCGAAGTAAAATCGATTTCTAACGTAAATAGCTGCGAGAGCTCCGATATTCGCATAGATTCATCTACATATATAGTGTATATATCCGTATACACCATATTGATCAGTCCCTAAAATAAATACCGCGTGCTAGGTAATGAATGTGTCATATGTTACTATTTTGTTGCCTAAATTAAGATGAAACATATGATTTCAATTTATAATATTTTTACAATGTTCATGCGATGTAAAATTAAAACAAATCGTAAAGTAACGTAACCACAAAACCACAAACTACAAAAAAGAAAAGGATATAACAACGTAATATATTGTTTAAAAAAAGATTACGCAATCTATAACATTCGATAAATTGGCCCAATTAAATTCAATTTTATATAATTTTCGTATCAGTACATATCGCAATAATTGAAAATCGATTTAACAACCATCCATATTCGAACAGCAAGAACAACTACCACTGTCGCAACGCATTCCTCGTATCGAACGCGAAATTACAAGTTTATCCTTCCGTTCCTTATCGCATGAAATATGTCTTTCTGATTATCCATCCAAGACAACCCAACCTTAATCAAAAGTTTCGAAGTACATTCTAGGGTTATATCCGTTGTTTAGAGATGTAATTATTGTTAACAAGAAAAATATTTTTAACTTTATTAACTTTTAGTAGTTTATAGTAGGTGTCATTGAACAAAATCTCGAGTGAAAAAATTTCAGTAAAAAATACCAATACCCGTAAGCGTAATAAAAGCCCTCATCTCGTATGGAAAAATGAATGAAGAGGTGCTCCAGCTTTTGGGTTGAGTTCTTTGTGTATCATAGGAAAATCCAAGAGGGGAGACTCGTTCTAGTGCACTTGCCCGAAACGGAGGGAAGAGTTTTCCTCTTGCACCAGCGCAGGGTTTCGAAACCATCCGAATCCCCCGTTCCTGGTGAACGCGGCTGCCAGAGACCGCTTCAGTTAACTGACGGCGTTTACAGAGTAACGTTCGCTGAAATCAAACAGTTTAAACGCGTTCGTTTCGAAACTCTCTTGAACTGTTGCTCTTTGTAAAGCACCACTACTCCTTGAAGACTTTTAGTGAATTTTAAAGTGATTTTGTGAAAACTTTTCTGTTTGTAACTATTTTTGAAAGTATGGTTTGAATGTTTAGTTCGAAAATTTTTATATTTTGGGTAAGCAAACAAAATTGTAATTATAATTAGTATAAGGAACTTTGGACGTTTCAAAATAATTGAAATCTCGCCAAATAATCAAGTAATTGACCCAGTAAGTGTTCGCAGTGAAGAACTTCATTTACATGATCCTTTAATATTTAATTTTTAAATATGCCTGCAGCGCGTATTCAGGTACAATTTCCATTAACATTAACGACTGCAGTATTAAAGAAAACGTATACGGAGATAACATTCAAATTTTCGTTACGACAATCCCTTTTGTCGAGTTTGCTTTAAAGTTGATTCTGTTTGGTTTATAACATTAGCAAAGGTTGTTGAGATAAAGGGATTGTGTAGACGGTCTAGATAGCACTATTATATTAGATCATTAGTAGTCCAAGTCGGGACAATATATTAAATTGAATTTTCTTTGTATAATTAACGTTGCGCCTCCAATTAACTAAAATTTATGATCTAATATATTAGTTTATTAATTAAACTTCATTGTTTCAGAGATTTGAAAATGTAATATTACATTTAATATGAAAAAATAAAAATATTACAATAAAATGTAACGGTCGAGGAAAAGTTCAAATGACTTCGGGACGAAACTGAAAATGTATAGGTGTTCATTTTCATATAGATTGCGTTTTGAAAGTTTCCACTGAAAACTTTTCCTCTGTTTCAAGTTTTTATAACATAAGTTAACAATTATTTTTTGAACATCATCAATCATCTTAAAAGTAATAACTACTATTACATTTTTGAGAAACAAAGAGAAAATTTTAGAATATATTCCGTCATCTATTACGGTCCCATAAAAGTACGGAGGATAGTTTTATGACCTTTGCGAGAATTTTATGTCTTTTATATATAGGGAGGCGTAACGTTTCTTCCTACGTACCTAAAAGCATGATTTTTCGTTGAAACTGAGTGACATCGTCTCACGGTGAATCATCGCAATAAAATTTCAAGTAATCTAAAAGTTAAAATTAAAACAATTCTTTATTACTATACATAACTTATTCAGGTTTATTATCATGTAAATTTTAAAATATATAAGGTTGTAATTAAGATAGTGAGTATTAGTTATAGTATTTTGAAATAAAGCAATTTTGATGTATTAAAATAATATATAAGATGTTTAAATTTTATTGGAGATTGGGGAGCTATCGAAGTATGAGGAATCTGTTATCATGTATAAAGGAAATAGGATTGAATGTAAGTTAAGAATTCCTTTTGAACACGCTGTGTATTTCCCAAATATCTAAGAAGCTCTCAAGACAAATTTGTTAATAAAATTATCCCTGTAAACATATTCTGCTTGGAAAGTTTCAATACATATCGTAAGACCACCCCTATATACCTTGACTGATTGTGAGTGATAAGTTCTTATTCAAACGTATATGTACTACTTGGTTTCTTATTGTGGTTCTTTTCGAAAAATGTTCTTTGATTTTTAATGATATGAAATCCTTGCGTTATTTCTTATTTCTATTTGCTTACGGTTAAAATTTGTTATGCTTTTACATACTCTAAGTTTTATTGGTGCAGGAACTGGTAATGTAGACTCAAGCACCTTCCACTTATTCATGATGAAAATAATCTTTATTGCTTAAATTCATTAGAACTTTTCTGTATTTTAGTGTTAAATAAGCAGATATTTAAAAATAAATTGATTTTGAACTCCATTTTCTAATTGACTCATTCGTACTTTTTCAAGTGACTACTCTAGCTTATTTAATTACGTCCAGAGAAAATAGTCGGGAACGATTTCTATGTTATGAATCCTTTTCACAGCTGGTCTCAACAAGTTTTCCAGCATTGCCTAATACTAATCTGCAAAAAATTGGGTTTGCAATCTTCACAACCCATAACCTGACGTTTTGGTTGTTAACAAAACCTGAATTTAATCAAATTTTGGTTAAAATCGCAACTTTGATTTTGTTATTGAAGAAACTAAATTTAATAGAAAAATATGTCGAATGACTTTAGTTTCAGTTTAACTTCGTGCGCTAGCTGGACCTCACATAGGAACATGTACGATGAGATAAAACCACAAATACTTCAAAATCATAACTTTTTTAATCATTGACAAATTTGGATGTCTGTACTCGGAGCGTTTAGTAGAGACCAAGCAGAAGTTTCTTAGACGAAGGGGTCTTCAAATCTCTTTGCCACGTCAAGTTACGTATCTTGCCAATAATAGCGCAACTTGAAAGATTGCTACAACGAGAATTTTTCTGACGGTAACGGTCAAAGGAGAAGACAGTCTATTCAAACGAAGAGTAGAAAGGATGTTAAAGTAGTAAAGGTTATCATTTTTAAGAGTACCTAACATCATATTCTAATAATTTTTAATTAAGTTCAAAAATAAACACAAATTACACTTTATACCTTTATACAGTTTGCATGTTTTCAAACCGTAATGACGACATAAATGCTTACGTTAACGTTGCTTTTACATAAACCGACATCCACACTCATTAACCGAGTTATGAACTCGGTAATGTAACTTAATGAATCTAAAGAAGAAAATATCGTGTGGTAAGGTTTTTAATTATTTATGTTCAAACTACAGGCGTGTTAGATGTTTGAGTGGAGTTCGGGTCAAGACTCACAAAATTCTATAACGAAGTCGAGTAGTTATAGAAAATTTATCGGTTTCAATAATCCTTGAGGAAGTAGAAGGTGAATTTAGTTCACAAATAGAATTTTCAAATAGAAAACGATATTAAAATTTATATGTGTAAAAAATTTCCGGAAGATTGATCGAGGAATTTGGAATAATGAAAACTGATTCTATTCAATTTTCAATGACTTATTGAGTAATATACAATTCCAGGACCTTGTTTTTTCATAAAATAAAGTTTCCATCGCTAACTTTCTTTCTGCGCTTTCCAAGTTTCTATGGACAGAAACTCGTTAGTCGCTTCTATCGAATAATTCCTTCATTGAAAGATATTTATAATTAAATCCATAGAAAAGATTTCTAAACATTCTAGTGGATGTTCTGGGGTTTCCAAATATATTCAGCAATTCAAAATTAATATTTCAAGAATTAAAAGATATTTTCAAAATCGGTTTTTTTCATTGGAAAGTTTATAATTTGTATAACAAGTGCTAATAATTATATAATGATTTATGGAAATCCCAATTTCTTATGATTTTCTTATGATTCTATAGACAAACTAAATGTGTATCAATATAGGTAGGTAATGAGCATAAAACGTGGACAATAACACTTTTTATTATTGAAAGTGTTATTTCAACTTGCTTTGATGTTTTAACGATCGATATTTTTTACTAATATTCCTAACCTTCTAAACGGATTGAGTTGGTTATCTAGTTTCATGGGCGAATAACACCTTGATGAAATATACGATTTAGTTTGATTTAAGTAAATGTTTTAAACGGAAAAAAATATGATTCGATATCACGACGTCGCGTTTAAATATAGCGAATTTACAATAATATAAAACTGATCACGCAAAAATAAATTTCCCGGAATCGGTATTGGAAATCCATTAGAAACTTCGCCCTCCCTTTTTTGAATCAATACTTAACGAGAAACGATGGTAATAACTTGGAAATGACTCCAATCGAAATTGAATAAAACTTTAATTTTGTATTTACCGCGAATAAATTCAACAACTTCTGTTTCATCGTTGAATTTCATTTGAATGAAGATAACGGGGAAGAAAAAATGCGTGTAACATAAAATAAGTCCTTGAACATTAAAATAATTTGCCCACACAAAGCGAATACTATAAAAACAAGTACGTTAAAGATAATTAACGCACAATTAAAATTAAATAGAAAGTGACGTTGAAAGAGAAAAAAAATCTTTTGCGTTTATTCGATTGCTGTTTGTTAATGAGCAACTGCTATCAATCAGTATTTATGGACATGATTTAGTTCAAACATCGCGTTACCTTAATCAAACAATCAATTAGTGTTTGACCTCATCAGTACTAATCCGACAATAATAAATATAAAACGTCAAAGATGTACCTACCTAATCTTTTTTTATATTATTTTTTTATAGACTAATTTGAACCATTGTTCCAATAATTCTATTTCGAACTAATTTTATCGGGATAGCACGAATAAACCGCTTTAGCGCTACACATGATCAAAGCTGTTAAACCGATGAATAATTGATTGTAATCGAACGAATTACAACTTCACATTGCTTTCATTTCTCGATTCACTTCGCTTATTCATTTATGATTAACAATATTATTAAAGAATTCAAGATGCAATCTTCCATATAAAAATAAATGCATAACAATAAATATTTGATTAAATATATATTTGTATGTATTATTAGATTAAATTAAATATTATAAATAACGGAATTTAAGTAATTAAATTCTGTTAATCATAAATCGAATAATAATTAAATCGAGAACTAAATTGAATGAAGAATTTAATTTAAAAGACTAAAATTGTTTTAATAAGGTGTGTTATATTAGAGATGAGAATAATTTATAATGAAAGATACTAGTAATACACGGATTATATACTAAATAGGTTGAAGACTTACAATCTCCACACAGAAGTTATATGCAACTACAAATTAAATTCGGATTTCACGTTGGTATTAATTTTGAAACGGAATCCTTATTAAGAGGAATTCGTAAAAGCGTCGATTATCCGTGGATCATTTAACTGAGGTTTAATTGAAATACAAATTTGGTATCGGTAGAGATCCTCATTTCGGTCATAGGCTGATAACGAACAATTAAAGAATGATAACAATTCAGACATACATCGAAATTGTGGAAGCGAGATTATCATTTAGAGATCATTAGTAATTGGTAAACACCACGTTTACTATTGTACCCTTGCTATGAACCAAGATTGTCTTTCCATGTCAAGTTAACTATCGTTCCTTCCATATAATATGTAGTATCTATGTCAGTCTTTTTTTTAAGAGCCCAGTAAATCAGTTCATATTTTATTTTTTAACAAGTACATGACTCCGTTTCTATACCTCACGATCCTCTTAAGTATTTCTATCACAATAAAGAGTGCATAGAGATTGCACACTTATCCTGAGAGTAACTCAGAATCTTAAGATTGTCAAATGACCCCTAGATGTCTTTAAAGACTGCCAGGATGTAGACAACTAAATAACCTTGGCGGGGTTTGCTCGCAGTTTTTCCCTTTCTGGAACACAACAACTTCGGCCACTTTGTAAATCGTCGGAAATCTGTCACGTTCCAGCTCATCATTGTTTTAGCAAAATGGCTTGCGGTCGAGTCAATGTCATATAACGTCAGTGTTTTGAATTAAATTACTTTGTATGTATTGATATTTTTGGTTATTATGGAATGGAATTGGAATGTTAGTGGTAAAATAGTGTACATGTTTCAAAGAAATAATTTGAAATAGTAAAAATAACTTTGTTAAAGTTGTTAGATATCAGTGTAGAGTAATGATATATACTGGCAGAGATGAAATTTATGATTCGATTTATGGTTGGCGTCCAAATAGATTCGAACCGAATATAAATTTCATAGAAAATTAATGCAAAAGCCCGCCAAGTCGGTTCGGCTCGAATGACACACACGCGCTTTCGGCCAAAGCGATTATTAATAGCAGGGCTTTTATGCAGGAAAGAGCGCCCACACACACTCTCCTGTCCATCGATTTCGGATTAAACGAAACAGCTCTCGGCTTCATATCAGTTGGCGAACCACAGTCCTATTCAGTTGGCATCACGACGCGACTCACGAAACGCTAAATATTACTAATGGAATTCGGCAAACTGCAAATCTCGGTTGTTTATGACACCTGAATAGACGTTTATTGGTAGTTTGCGTTTAGGTGCTTTTATAGAATTGAGTTGAAAACAAGTTTAGCTTAAACTGATACTAATAAAAGGGTTTCGTACGAGGTTGAAGAAATTGCAACGATTATACCGTCCCATTTTCAATAATTTACTCCGTAGGTTACCCGTTCATCACCGAACAGACGTTGAAATATCAGTCCGGACCCCAAATAATTTCCTTTGATTTATATGACGCCATAGTAGCCGGAACTTCGACACGCGCGCCGCGACGCCCATATTTTGCCGCGAGTCGTGCCTAATCACGTGATCATGAATATTTAACGGGGTACGGACGTTATTTTGACATTCTCCTTCGATTTATTAACTAAACCGGTTATTTCAACTTCATATTCAATTCGAAAATAGAAATTTCTAAATTTACTCTTTAACGAACTAAAATTGGGGACAATCATCTAAAATGTGAAGATGAATGTCTACCTAGGATATGAACAATTATCAATTAATAACCAACGAAAGATTGTAAACAACGTAATGAAAGAATTATAGTTTAAGCAAGAAATTGTATTCTAAATTGAACATTATATTTTTGCTTAAAAATATCTCTACGATTATATAGGATAACCTTTAAAATGTTAGTAAGTGTAAGTTTTGTGTTTAATAAAATTCTATACGATTGTTAGTTTTGCGTCATATATTGCTAGAATTCCATAAATCAGCTTAGTGCATATGCCTGGTAATAGAAAATTCAATACGGTCATCATGCATCCCCAATCGAATCGGGATTCATTACTGAACTCTACCAATTCAAATTTTCGAGGACTTGTTCGACCAGCTGATGCCGTATATTGGCAATAAATCTAGGAACGTTGGTTTACATATTCCTATAGAAAATAATCCAAAAAATATTTCCTACTAAACTAAAATAGCCTGATTGTATCAAGTTGACATGTTTGTATAATATTGTGCCATCTTGTCAAATTCAAAGTTGTTATACATGAATGCCACTTATTGAGAAGCAAATCATAGGTCTAGTACATAAAATACTACCAATCCAGTTTTTTATTGATTTTTCTCATATAAGAGTGTAGCTGACTACTAGGGCTAGTCTCTAATTCTTCGCACAATGTTTGTTACAGAACCGTATGAATTGCCTTGCTAGGTGTAGAGCCTTTTTGCAAATAAAACATTACTCCTATCTTCGTAGTGAAAGGGACTGTGCCCATTGTGTCCTTCGAGATATCTTTGTATTTCGACACTTACATCTTTTGCAGTCATATTCAGATTAATGATCAGACGTTGCCAAAACCAAAACACCTTTCAACAGTATTGTTCAGTAAGTACTGCCACTAGAACTTTAAAGCTGTCAGTATAAATACGTTTTTGATGTTATTTGTTAAAATTGGATTCAAGTAATTTTAATACAAAGTTCAAAATCACTTACTTTTTCAACCTTTTCTATCTTTTATTTATATATTTTATATAATCGATTTTTGTGGTTCTTAATTTGTTTACTTTATTTCAGATTTAACCACGATAAAATCTACATATTCATAAGCACTGAAACTGCTTTATAAGTAAACGCTATGAAACAGAATGGCCGTTAAAAGAGATCAAACAACATCGTGAATAGTGCTTTAATTTGTATTGTTCGATAAAATCTGAATAAAAAATAACACTGCCATAGTGATTGAAAGATGGGATTAATAGCTTTAGTTGTTGAAATGACATTTACAAATCCAAGCAAAATGAATCAAAATTAAATTATTAATTGATTGATGGAAATGAATGTCTCGATATCCGACGAAGATACTTACTTTGAATGGAACCGTGGGATTATGGAACAATATTCGATAGGACTTAAACGATAGGGAGCTGCAGAGATGGAGTAGTTTGTTGTGGTATCGGTTCGATGTAATGCGAAGCTCAACAAACGATTCCGCATCGTGCGATGCACTCCACGACGACGTTGTGTGGATCGAACCTAGTCTTTTGGTCCAATTATCCATTTTAACATTGATTGATGTTATGGTTATCATCGGTAACTGTTTGGTTATCGCTGCCGTTTACTGTTCATCAAAATTACGATCGGTTACGAACCTTTTCATCGTATCGCTAGCAGTAGCCGATTTACTGGTTGGCGTTGCCGTTTTACCATTTTCGATGACATTAGAAGTATACAAGGTAAGAGATACGTAAATTTGTTTTAAAATTGCAGATTTAATACTAAACCTTATTCCATTATTCAAAAACATCGATCCTTTTAATTCTCGGAAGACCAGAAATGTCTGTTCAAATTAAATATTCATTCCCTTTGGCCATTGCTTAATTTGAAATTTACATAACTGACTTTGAACCATGGCAAAAGCAAAGATGAGAAGCTTAAATGCGTGTTCGTTGAGTTTTATAATGTAACGTTGACGGGTTGCGCATTTAAAGAGTCGCTTGTTAGTGGACGACGTTCCCAAGGGATTTTCAGTAACTTCCAATTGCTGGGTGACTTTTTAATAAAACAAAATAATCAGAATAAAGTAAGATCCAAATCGTATTTTTTAAATAAAGATAAGGATTGGCTCTTGGAGCGATTAAATTGTTAAACCTAGTATGCGATAAATTCATCTTAATTGTCTTTATTCGATCTTTATAGGAGACCATTAATAATCCCGTCTAATCAATTAATTCAATTGAAACATTATGAACCAGTTCAACCCATACGTTTATACTCAATTGTGTACGTCTTATCTTTTCTTTTTTGAAACATTTATTGGCATATCGAATTTGATAGTCACCCAAATAGTAGAATTTAACGCGTCGCCGTTGTGTTTGCTGGTTGAGATAACTCGGCCGAAAAATCAAAGAAAACAAAAATTGGAACCGTTGTTCGTGACAGAATCGAAAGTTGCACCTTCAAAAAAGACCGAACGGAATTTTTAAAATTGCCTCTGTCCCTGTCTCGTGTCTTCGCACGCCACTGACTCCGCGGTATCGCATTTCAACCACCTAGAGAGCCGCGTGTGCACAATGAAGGAATAGCAACAGTGTTGTTGCATCGCGCTCCGACGGTTTTCGAACTCGATATCGCGTGTATATATCTAGTACCTGTGTGTCAGTGGGTGAAACCACATATCAGGTGTCTTTCTTTAAATTGAAACGGTTCTCTCGACCCGTGTTTCAAAGTAGATAGGTACTCATAGTGATGTATGTACCTGCATAGTTCGAATATAGGAATGCACATCAAACATTATCATCATTCTATTATTGCAATGTGGAAACTTTGGATGAATTGATGTAATGAATATAGAGTGGAGTGGGATGTTATTAAATGTGTGGGTGGATGTGTCTGTTTATTAAATTAAATTTGAGTTAGCTTTTTACGGTTTGGAAACTATATTAATTATTCTGCCTTCCATGCAAAGTTAATTAAAACTGAAACTATTACTAACATTAAATTCAACATGTTTTTTAGTAAAGTTATTTAATTCACTTTCTGGATTTCAATTTATTTAGAAATTAATCTTGGATTTCCATTGGAGTACATACTTACTCAATTCTTAACTCTCATGCAGAGGAAGAACATGAATATCCTTCGTCGATAAATAATCCTTGTTTTATAAATAAATTACAGTAAAACTTCATTATGATGGATTAGTACGATATATTCTAGTTTAAGTTCAATGAAAAATATACAACAATGTATCCCTGAATAACAATTAAAACTAGAACTAACACTATACCTAGAACTAGAATCATTTGGGTTTAGCCGCACGTCTCTAAAGACGGCTAAGCTGGGTATAGTGTTAGTTCTACATAGTAATAGGGCTAGTGTAAAACTAGAACTAACACTAGACCTAGAACTAGAATCATTCGGGTTTAGCCGTCTTTAAAGACGTGCGAACTAACACTAGCATTAGTACTAACACTGGTCCTATAACTGGAAACATTCAGGTTTAGCCGTCTTAAGAGACGTAGGGCAAAACATACGGTAATCTTTTGTTAAGTTTATTTATTATCTATTTAAAGTAACTTCGAGTTCTAACAATGGTAAAACCCAATATAGCAAACCGTTTGTTTCAAACAAATTTTTGCAACAAACATAAAAAGAACTAATTTTGATGAATGAAAAAACTCATTTGGCTAAATGAAGAATCATTATTTCATTAAATAAATAAAAAACGATGATATATCGAAGACATTAAGCGTGCAAACGTCATTAAGGCAGTAGTAGATTTATGCACTTTAATATTAGTTTTAGCGTCGGCTGGTATAAATCTTCTTACACCTGAAAGTTGGTTGAAGTTTCTGGTTGGTTTTTCAGAAAAGTTGAAGGTTGAGTCTGCGTTTGTGAGCGCTGAAGTTCACGTTATTAAATCTCGGTATTTATCCGTTGCGTTCCAGACGGTTTTAAGCTTAATGCCGCCTGAAATGGATCTTAATTCGTTTGCTTTGGAATGTCAGAAAAGACCGGATTGAGGGGAGACCCGAAGGAAGGAAAACAAAGCGTTTATAACTCGAATCTAGATTCGTAATGTAGCTAGAATTTTACTCGGTGCTAAATATGATTTATAATACAAATGAAAACAATTATTTTGTTGCAAATTCATAATCAATTAATTTAAATTGAAATGTGATTTGCTTTATTTAAATTAAAGTCTATAAGTGCAGTGGTATCGCTAAGATGGTTACATAGTTTCATGTTAGTTGTCTCCTACTGAACTTTCTATATGGATTCATTAAAGCAGCAAATCAAGTTTTGGTTGATGTTACCATACGTAAATAGAAACTACTCTATTTACGTTCACTGTTTACTTCTTCTATCGATTTACACAGAATGCTTGGTTGCATGATTGTCCTTGTAAGCTAACAGTAGTGGGCGTTAAAGCCGTTTTGTCAACACGTTTCTCGAGTTGGTATCAGTACATTTACTTTGAACAGGCGACGTAGGGGGAACAAATAACCCAAATTCCGATTGGAATATTTAGAGATTTCCAAAAGGAAATTGACAGTGGAAAAGCTTTTGGGGTACGAAAGTGGTAGACCGTAGGGAACAAAGTTTAACGCGTTAGTAGCAAATGTGGGAAGCTCCGGTTAATCCCATTTCGCTCTAGGGACAAATTTTGTATTCTAACTTGCAAAAGACAAACCTGTAAAAGACTAAATGATAGTATCTTAAACTATGTTAAGTTACAAGAAGATTAATAACGTTAATTGAAGTACGGTTTAGTTCAGTTTTATTGTCTCACTATAATTATGCTAATTGCTATAATAAATATCTAATAAAATTAATACCTTTAGTAATTTGGAATTAACATTAAAATCGATACTCAATTTCACGTCTTCGTATCACGTGCAGGGCCATAAGTGCATTCCATACTAATTGGATTACCTAATATAGACGTTAAACGAACTAGTACGGGGGATGTTAACAGTTTTCAACCACCTTTGACGTAGAAAAAATAACGGTGTAAAGTAAATCCACGTTCATCGACGTAAAACCTCATCAAAATACATGAGCTTTAAAGCCGTCGAGTTACGACAGAACACCCACTTCATTATCGGAAAAATTAAATAATCCATTATTGTGTCACATGCCGGTGCGGTTTATCACCCACATACATGAAGATTTGAGTTGATGATGAAATTAAAAAAGAAATGTGTTATTACACAAAGTATGGCTCGATGGCTCTAACATTTTTATTGTGTTCATTAACTACATGATGACACAAGGGTTTAATAAATTTTACGAGAGAATACGGTACTTCAGAATACTTTACTTTTTGAACTCGTGCTTTTAATAAAAGAACAAACCTGTCTTTCTCATAATTAAATTTATCATTTTAATAATTGTGTTATTAATACTAACGAATTCGAGTGATATGTTGAAGAGTATGGGTTGGGTTGGGTCCCCCTTTTTTTCACTCGGTATGTGGTGTGTATCATTGTGTATTATAGTGTAGAGTTTGTTTCTGTCGACGCTGTTCTTAAGCTATTCAATCAGATGCACTTTTTTACGAAAAAGTATTCCTGCTGTCAGTATAATAATAATTCACAGGCTATGTTTTATTCTCACACGTTAGTATTTAATTTCGAGTTAAAGAACCATTATTAGTTTTTTCCTCACCCTTGTATAAAGTTCTCTTCTTGCCGTAGTGAGTAAGGCGAGAGTTCAGCTCGTATAAAAAGTGGTGTTAAATTTATTTCCAGAGTTAGGAGGCACAGCCATGTTTCCACGAAGCTTAACCATGTTTCACAATTGAGGCGAACGACTACGTAAACGGCAACGAGAACGTAAACTTCAATTGAACCATAGGAATTTTCATGTAAGGGTACACGATTGAAGTAAAAACGAAGGTATAAACGGGAACGCCACGGGAAGAAGCATAGTCAAGTTTTATGTTTCACGTTTACGTTCACGTTTACGCTGCTGTTTGTGTTAATTTTGAAATGCCTTGCTCAAATATGAACTTTTTATCGTTACGTAGTATGAAATGTATTAACGAAATTTAGAGAGATTACCAGTTGGAACCATTTTTCAAATAGCACTCTGTTTTGCTTTGTGTATCACAGTATAGATTGATATACTATTTTCAATAAATGTACCCTACGGCTACATTTTAAATTAATTTAAGTACCAGTATCAAACGAATAGTATCATATTCAGGGATCACAGTTAATTAAACTGTTGGAGATAAAGCTTTTACCTTGTTTGCGACTTTATTCCATCGAACAATCGGGGAACCGAAAGAATGGATTTGTTCAAAAATAATTCATAGCCCTGATGACGCCTCGGAGTATTGGTACAATTTAGAGGAAAAATAAACGAGCCATTCCCTGGTGATGCTTGGAGCCGCAAATAAATAAGAGGAGGGATCTCCCTGTTGTCGTCATCATCTTCTCTCCCCTGTTTGTCCTCGTTTATCCTTCCGGACCATAAATAATTCGCGAGCTGTTAACGGGCACCACCTTGCTTTGTTTCCCTTTGGGCGGATTCGAATACGAGACACCAAAGTAGAAACGAAAACGTGACTACAAAACGTGAATCTCTTAAAACGTGGCGCCAATATTTATCACGTTTCAAGTGTAACCGTTGGTGTTAAGTGAATAACACGAAGAAGCTCTTGTATTTATTTTCTGGTAAAAGAACAAAATCCTATTATGAAGTTAATTAATCTTAAAGGTTATAACAAACACATTTTATTAATTATTTTTGTGTAGAAACGTGTATGACGCTTCTATAAAAATAAAGTAATAAATTTGAAACGTAATGTGCATTCTATAAAATAAAAAAATGTATAGATTTCTTATTATTACTGTTTATGACATGTCTATAAAAATAAAACAATAAACATGAAGCTTAATATGCATTCTTAAAAATGTTTTCGTTCACATATTTCCCATACATATTATTTGATATTGAAAGAAAGTAGATAAATATAATGTAAAATAATAATAATGCAAAAAAAGTAATTTAAACTGAATGTTTCAGAAGATATTCCAAGAAGCAATTTCAATTAAAAGAGACTGTCTGCTTAGTCGTTTACCTTATGCAGTCCAAGTAGCATACCTAACACAATTTGTTAGTTTTAACGGTCCACGTCGTAGCAAAGCTAACTTACTTACCAAGCGCAGCAATATAAGTTGTGGTACTTTGTCAGGACGCCAGCCTAACTTTCCGTTCGGATGCTGGAACTTCCCGTGCAACTTGTCCACGCTAATTTAATAGCGCCGGTCCCCGTTGACCGAAAATTGCAAGCTGCATCTTTCGTCGCTTCTTTACATTTCTCAAATTTCTTTTCTTATTGTTACAGGTGTGGATCTTTGGAAAAATCTGGTGCAATATTTGGTTGGCGGTCGATGTTTGGATGTGCACCGCGTCAATCCTCAACCTTTGCGTCATTTCTTTGGATCGATATGTAGCCGTGACCAGACCGATAAGTTATCCGAGCATCATGTCACCATCAAGGGCTAAAATGCTTATCGCCGGAATATGGTTTTTTAGTTTTGTTATTTGTTTTCCACCGTTGGTTGGTTGGAGAGACAGTAAGGTAAGATAAATATTAAAATATGTATGAGTAAAGAGGTAACTCTTGTTTGCGCTTTATGAAAATAATATTATTGCGTTGAAAACAAACGTTGAAAGCTCTCTAATAGATGTTCTTTGAGTAGCTTTAAGCACAAAGTTTCATAACGTTCTACCTACGGCTTACTCAACTTTAGATGAGGTTTTTGATCTCGCCCACTTTGTAATTTAACTTGAATATGAGTGTCGTTATCTGTTATAAAAATAATGTGAGAGTCTAAATAAAACATCCTTCCTTCGTTTTAAAATAAAATTTTTAGTTGATAATTTAGATTAAAATTATAATTAATAGAGATGTTTGACCTTATTTATTTGAGCATCATCAATTCTTCTAAATAAAAATTGAAAACCCACTTGGATTGTACAAAATTCGAAATTAAATATCTATTTTTTTTATCTAGTTTTTATTTCATGTTGAGATCATTCTTAGTTTTTGCTCAAGTTATTTATAAACAAACATGTAATCTAATAAAACAAAAACTTGAACTATTCTTAGTTCTTAGTACAAACAACACCTAATTACGTTTACAAACTCTTGCGATCGCTTCGTAATCCTTCCGCGAAGCTTAACAATCATCTTGCCATATTCCGTTCGTAATAAGTGGGAACTCGGTGCCGCGTTTAATGGCGTACTTAAACCCCGTAAGCCATATTTATGCGACTTGGTATCTTCCCGAGTTACATCTTCTGGCGGCAAGCGCGAACTTAAAGGCACGTACTGTTCCAAACCTCGTGCAGTCGTCTCTTTTATAATTGATGCCCTCGTTGCAGTTGGGATGCGGCAAAGCTTTTTGCTGGTTTGATTTGCGCGAACCGGTTTTGCTGTGTTCCATTAATTATAATTGTGAGTTTTGGCGGAGGAGCCGGGTTCATAAACTTTAAACGTTTTGGTAATCCATAATATGAATTTTGAAATGTAGGTTAAATTATCGTCAAAATGGTTTTATAGGGCATTCGAACATTGGCGCAAACTTTTATTTCTGTGTCAAATTTAATTTAGATAGCACCGCGTTTTGTGTCTCCAACGAAAAAGGACAAACGAGGTAGGTAGCAATGGCTGCGTTTATTCCAGTCCGTCGAACAGCGTATCCAACGGTGTGAGACGCTTATGACGCGTCCTACATTTCGCCTGGTGCGTTTAAAAGTCCACAATGTACGGGTGATAAAAAGAATAAAGAAGGAGGTAAAAGTCAAGGACAAGTTCAAAACGTGCAACGTCTGCAGTTTTTTAATTTTTTTAAGTAGTGTTGGTTTACTTTTTAATGAGATAACAAATCGATTTGGAAGGAGGGAATTCGTTTGGCGTTCCTTAATTCCGTTCCCGGAGGCTCGACGAACGAAATTAGAAACGTAAGCACCACTCGTGAATTCCACGAACCCTTGTGGTTGCCGCAGAACATCCAGGAAAACGTAATTCACTTATTCCGAGGCATCCTTGAAACGGCCCGCGGACCGGAAACAACAATTTCCAACAATAGAAGTCAATTCATAGTGGTGGTTCGTTACCACGCCACAAAATATAACTTTTGATCTCTCTGTTCATATAAATTTATGTTACATTCAACAATTATTTCTTGTATAATGAAAAAATAATCATTATTCTACTGCATGTAAGGGTACATTGTTGACGTTATAAATTAGATAACACAATTGAATTATATCTACATACAAACATGACATTGTCCATAATTCAATTCACACCTAAATGTACATTGAGTATTCAGAGATATTGCGTCAAATGTGCATAAAGACAATGGATATCTATTTTATTAACAAAATAATTCTTCTATTTAATTCCGTTTATATAAATACTCAATGTAGCAATGTCGTTAATGTAAACACAATATTTGCGAGTTCTTCCACCTTTTTATGTAAAGCTTTTAAGCCTTTATCCGAAATACCTGAGCTGGCAAGGGCAAAACAAGCGCCCATTAATTTAAGGCGTATCATCCCTAGGGACAACAACACAGACAAAGGCGCTGTAGGGTCTTTAATTACTAAGGGAACAATTTATTTTTAACGTTTGAGAGTTTGTAATTCGGACAGAGCATCTCATTTAATCGAAAGAGATTAAACGCCCTTGGCAATGCTTTAGAACTTTTCTGGTCATCAACGATTTAAACAAAGGATATTTTTAAGGTATATTGTAAGAAAGCTAGAACAGAAAGGGATGTTTAAAATGTTTTAATTACTTATTGTGTATTTTTCGTCGGCCATAGATTGTTGTTGAGCTTATACAAACTTTCTACGTGAGCTGGAATACAATCGTTGAATTTGCTTTGGTGTTAAAATAATTAATTACAACCAGAATGGAAGGATATAGTTGGATGTTACGCGTTTGGGTTTTCTATCGCGCAGCTGACGATGCAGTAGGAATTATGCATGAACCGTCACGTCGTTCTTTAAAAAATAGGACAAAAATTAAAACCTCACGTCATAAACAAATAAAACAATTTCCTATTTCACTCGTCAACACTTTTCGGTTAACTAGTCAACGGCTTTTGAAATGAGGGAACATTTGAACTTGTAATTAAAGCGAATATTTTAAATGCGTTCGATAGAAAATCAAAGTCGCTTTTACTTGAAACGAATTTTTTCCTTCTTTTTGCACTTTATTTTCAGGCGGGTGATAGGCAAGGGACGAATTCAAGCAAGACGGATGACGCCCCGTGCCAATGGAAGTGCGAACTTACTAACGAAGTTGGTTACGTCGTCTACTCTGCCCTCGGATCATTCTACATTCCCATGTTTGTGATGCTCTTTTTTTATTGGCGAATATACAGGGCTGCAGTCAGGACTACTAGGGCGATAAATCAAGGATTTAGAACCACAAAAGGTTAGTTTAATTATATTCTTAAAGCATTACAATTAAATATCTAAAAAAAATTTAAGTTACTTTAATTTACTTTAAGTATGCAAAAGCCTACTTAACATGTTTTTACTGGTACTTTTTTTTTGTTTAGGGAGTCAGCGCAAAGTCTGCATAATCCGTCTTAATGTATCGTGGCAATTTAACTTTTCGGGCGAACGCGATAAGTTATTTTGTTTCGCCGTTTTAAAGTTTATCCAGTTTCTCATTGCTTTTGCGCAACGATTTGTTTCTATTAAGAAACTTTCCCATCAACTTCCGGATGAGCTTTGTGTACCGATCGTTGGTGAAATTGTTCTTCTTTTTGGTTATTTTTCTTTCCAAACATTTTCAATAACAAGTACATGAGTAGGTATTTTAGTAGACATTTTCATGTGTCTTGGTTGCTTATTCGTTTTCATTCTACAATTTACAAAAATTTTAATGAAACTGTGTTTTCAAGATAAACATCGCCTAATAATAGATGAGTACATAGTTCATTTAAACTTTTATTACAATACATTTCAATGTTTGCATGATGTACTGTGGACTAAATCCGAGTATTCCCAATGGTGCCAAAACTAATCTTGTCAGCACGATTTTGTACGCTTCGAAGAATGATGTTATGTAGATGTAATGATGTTTTCAAAGTTGGAATGTGTTAGGAACATAAATATAAATCTTTGGTAATCCATATTGCGAGTTATAAAAGTAAATAAATATAAAAATGTAAAATTTAGGTATTTAAATAAAATAAGTTATTTTTCGCTATAAAATTTAATGTAATCAGTACCAGTTTTGGCCATCCATTTTATGCATCGATATAAAAGTTTACCTCATATAATATTCATTATTAAAAGTACAATACTTTTGTTTCACTATATGTTCTAGGATATTATCAAGATGGTCGGTAATATCGTTATCACTGAAAAACTTCTTAAATGTCTTAGATGTTAATTGCAGTGTCAGATCTATGGGGATGTTGGCATACAAATTAGTGATGTCAAAAGAAATCATGATTTTATTATTGAGGTCAATGTCTTTGATGGAGTCAATGTAGACGTCTTCTGTTCCCATCACTATACCATTTGATTCATCTCATCCTCTACAGAGAGATTGAAAAGTTGCCCCAGTAGTGTCTTTTGAGCTTTTTTTTGATAATTTTAATCAGTTCGTTTCAGAATATCACACGAGCACATAATTTTATTATTATTGATTCAATTTTACCATCTCAATTAAGTTTGCAGTTACCAGTTGATTAGTATAGTATAAGCGGAAGGACAACAAGGTTGAGAACGTCTAGTATTTACGCGCTTTGGTGAACCAATTAAATTCTGGATTATGCATTTATAGCGCCGGAGCTTCTGAATCTCGCGTAACAGATTGCCAGAATGGCGGAAACAGTTTAAACACGGCCTCCTGCCTCTTGTACGACTAATACAGTCTGTGCAACGTCTACATACGTACACAGTTATTGACTCACTAAACTATGCAAATGTCGGAGTTCTCATAGGGAACACGACCGTCTCGTTCTAAATGATTCCGATTTTATTTGAATCGAGGGTAAATGTACCCTTTCCTTTTGAAAACGTTCCGAGTTTTGATGTAAAATATAGCGCTTAAAACTAGTAATTACTTTGTGTTTCGGGTAAATACAAATGTGACATTTGAGTGAATCGGTGTTTGTTGAATTTTTACTCTAACTAACGTTACATTGTAATGTGAGATCAATCAAACACACTCGCTTAACTTTGGGTGGTTTAATGCTCAAAGAGAATAGTTTCTACTTACTAACGAGCGTAATGTTGATTTTGTTAACAAAAACACATTACGTAAAATGAGTTTAAATGAACTCTCCACACTTTTTATGCGGCGAAACATGAAAATTTACAAGTTTTTTCTATTGAACGATCCTGTGACCGCAAAATTTAAAATTCAAACGATCCGAAGGTCTTCTGGGCATGGTTCAGAGTTGATGTTTTCAATTTTATTTAGGTGAGATTGCTATCCTTATCGATTTTACTACGAAGGCGCGTACCTTTACCAATATTTAGATCGTAGATAGAACGGGTAAAGTACTAAAAACATCAATGTCGTAAAACTTTTACACAGGTTCGGTAGAAAATATCAAGAAAAACGTTAGATTTTAATATTATTATGTGATTTAAGCCACTTTCAATTTGCGTTTTGTTTGGTGATTACAACACCGCTATTTTAGTTACCTCAAAATTTGCCATTACGCAACTCCGAGAGAATTACTGAATACATTCAAACTGCTATAACATTACGTTGGCTTCGTTACTGTGAATTCAGTAGTTAATGTTGTTGGCTATAAAATTTCAACTATGAGAGCTTCGATGTATTGAACGTTGAAATTGGATATTCAATATCTGTTAAAATAATTCAATTACATTTACCTCAATTCTTCTATTTAAAAGGTTAATTTCAAATATTTCATTTGATTCATTTACTTTTTTAAAAAATGAAAAAAGAAAATGATGGCGTCAACCCAATCTAAAGTGACTGTCTCCTTCTTTATACGCGAATATATTCCGCCCTGATTAATCAGATTTTTTATATTTTACCAGTCCTGACACGTATTTTATACTTCGCCCAACGGTTCCATTACCGTTGACATGGAATGATGACGAAAATACACCACCATTTTTTCCCTAGTTTATATACAGATTCTTTTCGGATATTTAAGCGATTTAACACGGTCGTGAAATATCCTTGAACCGTCGAATCGATGGATCACGTGATCAAGTACACACGAAAATTCCCGGCTAATTTTAACTTTTTCTTTAACCAATTTCAGTCATTGATTTAAACCTCCAAACTGCGTGCAGCGTCGATTCGGAGAATAGATATTCGGCCATTCAAAGGGCAAAGGTGGATATCTCCAATCTACTCACGTTTTCTGTTGGGACGACGATGCCGCTTTCTGAAGGGTTGTTGTATTGGAAACTATCCGTTGTTTATTGGGTGTGTTTTGTACTATGAATTCGAAATGAGGCCGTTGTTTGGTTATAATTAGGCCGGTACATTGAAAGAGCAACTATATCCCTAAGTATCGAATTTAGTGAACTTTAACATTGAGATTGTAAAGTGTGATAAATAATAATAAATAATTGTGAAAGTTTTGAATTTTTCATCTTTTATATAATATGAAATAAATAAAATGATTCCTTGCTATATAACTCCTCTTTACTTTGGAAGAAAATGTCTTCTTTACACTGGATACTAACTCCATTACATCGCAAGGGCTTGTAAGTGCATTATCATTGACCCAAAAGCGTTTAAGACCAAGCGCAAAAAGCCTCATCGATCGCAAGAGATGAAATTGTCCTCTTCGCTACTTCATTTCGACTTTTTGGATCTCAATTCATAATAGAGACTTAATGAGAGTTTTATTTCAACCCGTCAATTTGAAACTGAGCTCAATGGAAGAAAATGTTCACCTTTTACTGGAAAAGCTCACAGATAATTTACTGAAAGAGATACGGATTAATGTCGAAACTGGAACGGAAAGCCACCCAACGATATCAAGCGGGTGGCGCGTTATATTAAATTTCAGATAGCAATGCGATTATAGAACGCTGGTGCCATTGTTGTGGTTTTCTGATGGAGCATTTTATTGTTAAGCATAGCTTACGTGCCGAGGAAGTTATCGTTTTTAACAGTCAAACTGTAAGAAAATCTAAAATTCTAAAAGTTAAAATAAAACCCACATAACTATTTTCGAATATGAAATAAAACATAAATTAAGAATTTTTTGAATTATATTGAGAAAATATATTCACGAGGGAATTATTCTTTGTAATGAGGGGTAAAATTTGATATCCAACGAAAGAAAATAGCGTCATAAATCACAGCGAGAAAGGAGACGGTGGTGAACGTTGACGTCTCAAATAAAGACGATCCCTTTTTCGTCTTGTCGAGAACGAAAGGGTCAGATACCATCGTGTACTCTCGCTTAGCAGGTGTTGAATTCCAACTGTGGGTTTAGAAACCGTGCGTCAAAATGAATTTCCTTGCCAGTATATCTTACTGATACATTCAGGGATCGCGACACTGTTGGTATTTCATTTCTACGAGGCTTTCCTACAATGGCACGTTCGGCGGTCCCCAATAAACCGACGATATATGCTTACAGCGACACGTTCACACGTTCGGAATGTCTGCAATTTGCGTCCTAGATAAATTAACGCGGAAAATGTAGTGAATCGGTATTGTTATACATTGTTCGTCATCACAATAACCATTATATCAACGAATTAATGTAGTCAATTTCATATTTAACTTTGTTTTAGGTTCAAAAGGAATGGGTAATCGTTTTGAAGAGCAACGCTTAACATTACGGATTCATAGAGGACGTGGGTCGTCATCAAGAAGACATCAAGGATCACCCCATAGTAACGGTTCTAACAGCACGACCACTACAACGGGTAGTGCATCACCGAGTCCAAGAGGTCGTCACGAAAAGGTTAAAATAAGCGTAAGCTATCCATCAACTGAAAATTTATCTTCTTCCCATGCATCCGGTCCTCATCTCCTAAGCGTTACCCCTACTTCTCCAACACCAGCCGGTCAACCATCGTATGCCGTACATTATACAGCTAATGGAAAAGACAATACGACGACGACGACAAATATATTTAAACGTGATAATCGATTGAGGGTGTCACAAAAATTTTCTTCTCCGAAGAGGAGACATAGCGAACGATCGGATAGTTACGATGGAACAGATAGGCCTATGAGAAGTCCGAGCCCGTCAGTTTGCGATGAGCTCAATAAACCAAAAGTGATTTCAAAGAAAATGGGCAAGAGGAATATTAAAGCCCAAGTGAAACGTTTCCGAATGGAAACTAAAGCGGCCAAAACCCTTGGAATAATCGTAGGTGGATTTATTTTCTGTTGGCTTCCGTTTTTTACTATGTATTTGATATGGGCTCTTTGCGAAAGTTGCATACCGCCGCTGTTGTTTTCAATACTTTTCTGGTTAGGATATTGTAATTCCGCCATCAATCCTCTCATCTATGCATTATTCTCTAAGGACTTCCGATTCGCTTTTAAGAAAATCATCTGTAAGTGTTTTTGCAAGTTGGCGTCACGTTCTAGAAGAGATTCAGACGGCTCTCAGATGCAAGGTAGACAATTTAGATCGCCCAGTTACAATATTCAACACCAAAGTAACTCGCTTGGCGAAGAAAGTGATCCCGGTGGGGAAGGTTCGGATTCTAGGTGACCTAGGAAAGGTGAAGAGGTCGCACAGACCTATTTGGAAAAAAGTAATGTTTTGAAAGTTGCCATGTGCGTTTATGGAGGGTGACAAAATGGAGGCGCACCTCGAAGAAAGGGGTGTACCGAGGTATAACGAATTTACAGAAGATTTGAGGTTATTTTATTTTGGATCTTCTTGATAAGAAGAGTTGCTAGAGGGTACTTTAAAACCGTAGATACTTACATTTATTTAAATACGGTAACTTCGGAGAGGGAAATCAAACGACTTATACTACTTAATATAATTATGTTAAGGAGAATCAATGAAAAAGAAAAAAATTAGACTCAGTCTATGGTAAACTAACATAACTACAAAATATACTAATTTTCATCGTTTAAATCATAATGATGATGTAAATAAATATGTAAATGAAAGATGTTTTATACTAAACCGATTACCATCAGTACTTAATTAAATCTAGTCAATACGTTCCCATTTAAAAGCCTAAATCATTAAAAAAAAAATTTTTCTAAAATTAATAACTAACATTTTATTGATTTTGAATTTTAACAATAATAACTATAAAATATTGATTGTGAAATAAATAATATTAATCTAAGAAGTCTCAATACTACATTACATGAATTAATTTGTTCCTTTAGAGATTTTGGAATATTTAAAAAAACTCTACCTAAATTGACGTTCGCTATTAAAACTACACCGTTTTCCAAAACTTTCCCAATTCCACGAGGTCGTAATCGACGGGTCTCCTCCAGATTTCCCTGTTTTTCAATACCGCGATGCCAACTCTCTTAACTACTCTCGAACTAATTACGAGATCCGTATCTGGCTTCGATAAGAGGAACAAGGAGATGATATTCTCCATCCTTTGATATAATCAACCCCCCTTTTGCTTTATTGGCTCGGGTATTGTGTTTTCGGTTCAAATATCTTTCTCTCTTTTATCTCAGACACTTTATATCCAGGAGTTTTAACTTTTCCGTTCGGGAGTTTTGATAAGTTGGAGCTTAAAGCTCGACCACCGTCGAGTAGAAAATGACAAATTTTGTTTAAACCCGAAAATTTCTTTTTAAAACGCCACCAAAGGAAGTAAAAGGAACGGAAACCGTAATGAAATATCGCCCTTATATTGTCAGCATTTTTCCCTTCATTATCCTCATCGCAAAAGCCGACAGAGCTTTCGAGCTTAACGCTTAATTGGAATGAGGATACCCGGGGCTTTTACTTGACACTTTTCAGGGAACGGTGGTATCTTAAATCATAAGAAAGTCGTGATTATTGTGCATGTATGTAATTGGAGGATTTCACTGTTTCAAAAATCACACCATTTTTGTAACCTTTTTTTGATCTATTTCATTTTAAAGATCTTTAAACGATAAAATATGGAGGGTAAATCCACTTTTGCCAGGTGAATTAAGTTGCGCAAACTTACACATAAATTTGGCCTTATTTATGACGTGAAAACTCCTCGGAACAAAGTGTTATAGCCGCGCTATTCCTGGATTCGTCGAGGAAGTTTGAGACCACTTTAAGAGATTAAGGTGAGTTGTTGCACGATTACAATATGAAATTTACACCGGAATTAAATTCCATAATGCCACAACGTTCGGATTGTTAAAATACGGGTTAATATAATTTAGATGTGATGTGATAAAAATCAAAGAATCGGACAATCAAAACATAACACACAATTAATTTCAATTTAAACAAAATAATTAACTTTATTGATAATATTGTGACGCGATAAAGTTTCTAATCCAATTTGAACGAAATGAATTCGCCCAGTTTAATCTAATTTTGAATATCGAGCTGTTTTTGTCCTAGCCAAATCTATCGAAAACGCAATCTAAAATAATAGTATTACCAGGGAACTTGGCGCATAATTTTCGAAACTTCTTCGGCTTGAATTCAGCGCTATTCCAAGTTTAATGAGAGGAATTCAACTGTCTTTAACTTTATCAAGGACACGGCATATTGTGTCTTTTAAATTCAAACCTAGAATAAAATAAATTATGTAATTAAAAATTTTAAAATGCATTAAAAAAATATAAAATATACACTATAAATACGCTATAATTAGATGGTGTTAAAAATAATTGAGTTATGGTGTGCGAATATTTTTGGCAACAACAAATTCATTCCAGATTTATCTTTACCTTTCCACAAATACAAGACATCACGGTTTATAGGAATTTTAAAATGATTAAAATAAAATGATTGTAACTACGATGATTAATGATTAAATTTGCTTTAAAATGCTTGCCATTTTAGCTCGATAGCTCAACTATCTTCTGAGATACGATTTCTTAAAGATTAATATAAACCGTAAAATTATCAATTTTACGCAAAGATAAATTAAAAGAATTGTGGCATTATGATTTATAGGAATTATAAAATGATTTTAACTACGTTGGTAAATCATTAAATTAGCTTTAAAATTCTTGTTATTTCAGCTCGATATCTCAACGATTTTCTGAGAACGATTTCTTAAAAATTAACTATTATCAATTTTACGCAAATATAAATACAAGAAATTGTGATATCGCGATTTCTAGGAATTATAAACTGATTTTAACTACGTTTATAGATCATTAAATTAGCTTTAAAATGCTTGTTATTTTAGCTCAATATCTCAACTAACTTCTGAGATACGATTTCTTAAAGATTAATAGTATAAAACTTTCGATGACTTTCGATGTGATATCAAGATTTATTGCAATTGAAGTACGATTTTAGTTGTGTTCAATTTTGATTAAATTCTCTTTAAATGCTTTTTAATTCATTACAGTAGCTCAACTTATTTCTGAGATACGATTTCTTAAAGATTGATAACCTTCTTGACAAACCAATTGTTAATATTAAGCAAGGATGAAAACGCGAGGACGAATTTCTGCATAATTACATTATATAATTATAGTGATAATCCTGAACTAATAAACAAAACTTATCTGGCGTAAAATGTAATCTTAAACTTCTACAATAAAACAAATATCGTGTAACGAATTTTTTTTTACAAAGGGTAAAATTAGAATACTATTTTGTAAAATTAATGATAAATTAAAGAATTTTAAAACGTATAAGCTGAAAAGGAGATAATTTGAAAGATAAAAAAAGTTGAGATAATCTGGAAATGAAGTTTTTACGAACATATTTAACTGTGAGCTCCTGTAAAACCTTCTCATCATGTCCGCTTAACGGGTTTTCTCCGCCCTTTTCCGTTCTTTCCGAAAAGGAAAAGGCTAAATTGGGGTTGCTAGAATAGCTCGCTCTATTTTAGTCCTTGTTGACAATATTTATGACACATAGCGCTATAAAAAGAACGCAAATATCTGCTTTTATCGTCAGTATTAATCAAATAAGGTAATGTTATGTTTCTACTTTATTCGAAAGTCTTTAAATCTAAAAGTTTCAAAATTTATTTGATTAAGCGTAACAGTTTCTAATTGGATTGTAATTTAATTTGAATTAACCCTGTTAGCAAAAGGAGAACATTATCCGGGTGACTCCTTCAGGGAATTTGTCATAGAATTAAACTTATGTGTCACGTATAGAACCGAAACCTAATAACATCGACCGAGTTTCTCCCGCTGAAACTCATCCGCGAATAGGGACGTAATGAGTTCGCAATTTATCGATGGAAAATTGTTTCTTAAAGGGAGTGTAACGCTGCCAACGTAAGCTGATTTTCTCGGATTATGTCAGAAATGATAACTACGTTATTGAAGAAAATTTCATAGACATTCATAGACTGTTTCAATTTTTTTAATAATTTTTGAGCAATTGTTGAGTTAGATACAAATAATTCAATAAAAGATTATTGGAATTCGTGGAATGAATGAAGTATAACTCTCCGCCTTGTTAGAGACTTCCAATGCCCGATAATTAAGAGAGAACCTGTAAGTTTATAATTGAAATGGATGTTCTGACGGATCCTAATTATTTGCTGAGAGCTACTGAAACAGACCGTAAATATATTAAATATTTTGTGAGAGGGTTTTGAAAAGGGATCTTTTGATGTAATATTTATGACAATTTTCATCTACTTAACTAATTTTAATAAACAAAATTGAATCTTGTATATGAATTAAAATTTTGGAATAAATATTTTTAGTCTATAATCGTTGTGTACAAAGTATTTTAAATTTATAAATTTTTAATACGTTGTTAAGAAATAGTTTAATAAATGTAAATAAAATTTAATATGTATGCTAAAATTACAATATATGTACCATAATTATCGTATTAATATTAATGTATGTGTAATTACACGGAATGTAATCTAAATGTTTATAAATATAAGTCATCATTACATTAATTCATCTCATTCTATCTGATTTGTAAACAATACAAAACACATTTTCGTTATTTATTTATTTATATTTACATTTCTTTTAAATAAATGGACGTATTAATGTACGTGAAAATTAAATAGATATACAAAAACCAAGAATAACTCTGATTAAATCGTAACGAAATGTGCAACTGTGTATACTTGTGTATGTATATCTATAAACAACACAATAATAAAGATGTGATTCAAAAAAACTAATCAAAATGAATTGTTTTTTACTTCTTATTCTCATTCAAAGGCTAATACCCAATACGCCCGTTTCCGTAATCTCAGACGCCTGCCATAACGTACTTACAGTTAATTATGGAAAATCCCGGTCTGGGATGCAAGGTTCACGTGCCAACCGCACCGCGTCTATCGGATTACGTCCAATATCCATACATCTGCATCTGCAAATTGGTTTTGAACTAGCAACGTCCTCTGCTGTGGCGTCGCGACGCCCTCTCGCGATACCAACTTCGGCTTCGACTGCAGAGCCTTCAATAAATAATGAGCGACAACAGTTTTCCATTAACCACCCTTCCTTCTTACGATCCCTTCTTCTCGAACTAAAAGAATTTTCGCTTAATTGTATTTTTATCTCCGAGGCTATAGATAACTGAACAATATTTAAATCAGAACCACTTACTCCATCTACATCCAACATATACAATCATAAAGAGAAATCTACTCCTTTATGCAAAGAATAATGATTATAAAAAGTATTTTAGTAGAACATCTTTTGCTGCATTTCGATTTATGCAATCTAAAGCTTGCTCTATGTTTAGAAAGCGAAATAATAAAAAAAGTCAAATTTCAATTTCCGTTAAGTTGAAAGCTTTCGCCAGTATCACCGCTTGCTGTTTTGTTTTATGAATTCGTATTCGTCGTCGAGCTAAAGCTTCTCGTCTGGAACATCAAAAGCTCCCAAGTTGAAAGGTTTAAGCGTTCGGTGGACGACGGGGTACGGAGCTTCCGTTCCCTGAATGCTTTAAGAAACCAACCACATTTGAGCTTTTCAAATTCTATTTTTCTTTATCTCGTTGACGAAGCTATATCCTTAATGTAATCGAACCCGACTTGATTTGCATTAATTTATTTTTTAAATAGAAATTGCGATCTAACTCGAATATAATAGGTTCGTATCTATAAATCAACTTAAAATACAATCAATAATGACCTTGTTGCGACTTCCGGAAAATAAGAGTTCTTACAACGCTTCTACCTCCGTTCTATATAGTTGTCTCCGTATCTAACAAAAGACCAGACGTAAACCAGCAGCAGCAGGCGAGGTTAAAGGTGCGGTTAACCTTATATAACATTCTTCAAATAGTAAATTTCGTTAGTCATTAAGAAATTCTCCTGGTGTACGTTTGTGAAGAGGAGCTAATCATGTCTCGTTTCGTAAGTTATTTTATTTTAAAATTTCTTCTTAATGTTACATAATACCTAAAGAATTTATCCTCTCTGCGGTGTCCTTTCACTCTCACCTGGCAATGAATTAATTTTCTAGGTCACGATATCTATAACGATTTTACTTCTATTGGCGTATGAAGGAAGAACGCACGTTATTCCTGCATATGGAGTTACAGTAGGATTGGCTCCTTATAATCACCCAGTTCAATCTCTATACCACGCTCAAGACATCCATGGTCAATACATATACGGTTACGCAACACCAACAGCAACCAAAACGGAAACAAAAACTGCTGATGGTGTAACCAGAGGGGGGTATTCCTACATTGATTCACATGGAGTTCTTCAAAGCGTTGAGTACGTTGCAGATCCTGCACACGGATTTAGAGTAGCAGCGACAAATCTTCCACAAGATTTACCGGATGTTGCTTACGCTAAAGCCAAACATTTATCGGAGTTCGAAACTATTAAAAGCGAGCATCTTGCAGCTAGAACTGTACAATATTCTAATCCAGTCGCAGTTCCAATTAATGCCGTTCCAATTCTTCAACCAGTTCAAGATCTTCCAGAAGTCGCAGCAGCTAAAGCGCGCCATTTAGCTCAATACGAAGCTATCAAAGCGCAACATCTCGCTGCCGTTCAAATCCCGGTTCAACCTCCCGCTCAAATTCACGATTTACCAGAAGTTATTAAAGCCAGAGCGGAACATTTAGCGGCTGTTGAAGCAACCAAAGCTAGAGATCTTGCGGCAGCTACTCAACATCAATTTGCTGGACCTAGTATTAGTCCTGTAACATATCAAACAGGATCGTATGTCGTACCCGTTCGAGCACCTCAAATTGTAGCGGCACCCGTTATTGCTAAACAACCAGTGGTTGCTTATGCACCAATTCTTCATCAATACCAAGCTCAAGATGGTTACGGACAATATTCGTATGGTTACACCGGTCCGTGGAGTAGTAAATCTGAAACAAAATCTCCTGATGGAGTTGTAAGAGGTGGTTATTCTTATATCGATGGGAACGGAGTTCTTCAAACTGTACATTACGTTGCCGACGCTCATGGATTTAGAGTTGCTGGTACTAATATTCCCGTTGGACCAGAAAGTTACGTACAAAATCCATCCCAACCAAACCATGACGCGCAAAAATTGTATTCACACGATATCACCTATTAATAATTTTTATTGAAAATTTTGTTTATATGTACAAACATAATTTATAAAATAAATAAACATGTAATTAATTTTTGATCCGTTTATTTGTATTAAATCATTTTTAAAATATCGAATTAAACCCCGTGTATATTACAAATAACGTAACGTATTCGTTAGCGTAATGGAATAAATAAATTCGTTTGTCAACGATGTTTACCATATGTGGCTTGTTTACACTTTCATGGGGGCGTAAATTGATCTGATGGAATTTGCAGAGGCAGAGATGGAATGAACCAAATGAATTGCACCTAATGGATATTGGTCCAGATAGCTGTTCGATCAATTAGACAGAAAGGGTTTAATTAAATGGCTTTGTATCTAGTTTAATATTAATAATTCACATTGAATTATCAAAGCGAGTCGTACAGCATAACAATGATGAAGAATTTATTACAGTTAACGTTATTAATCATATGATTAATAATAACGGCAATGACTTTGTGTTAATAGATGGCGGTAATATGCGTAAAGTTATTTAAAGAATGATTAAATTTAAATTAGATTTCAAAAAACAGAATATTTTGATATATTATGATAAAAGATTCAACACTACATGAATAATTTGTTATTTATATACGAAATAATATTGAAAAGTTTGTTATACATTATTAAAACTTATTACTATTGATTAACAGATGGGGTTACTTTAATTAAACATACACATACATATTTATTTAAATTTATGACATTTTGTGAATTAATGATTAATTTAAAATATTGCTGCAACTTTTTAACCAGAAAATACTGTTACAGAATAAAATGGAGATGGTAAACCAAAAATATCGAAATTTTGTAGTTTCATTTAACACTTTGCACTCTAGACACAAGGAAAGCACCCTTCTAGAAACTGTCACAATGATCACAAAAGGAACTGCAAAATCCAAGGCCATTAAAATGAGTACTGCGATCAGAGAAATTGCACTAGAAAGGGTTTTATGACAATCTAGAACTGTACTGCAAACCAAATCGGTTGGAAGATCTACTCAAAAAGTAGAAAGAATATCTTTTCCATATTTACAGTGCGTTTCTGTATTTACGACACCTTAATTATTGACGCTTCCAAACAACATCTTGCATTGGAAAGAGCTCCTTGGTATTAAAGAGCAACAAACAAACTTTGTCATTATCCGTAGAGGAGTGGCTTTTGACTTCGGAGTTATGTGGCTACAAAGTCAAATTCATACACAGCATCCCCAGAAAGGATATTTATTAATGTTGAACACATAAACGCAAAAGGTACCCTAACAATCATGACTAAGCTTCTTTCAAACAGAAGAAAAGAGTATTGATATACTGTGGATATTATACCTTACATAATAAAGAGGTGGCGAGAATGATTTTTGGTAGGGAGGGACCAAAGGTGGTGGCCATCACTATGACGATACTATATCAACTAAATGACGAGCTAGTCGGTAGTAGCTACTCTGGACATTATGCTGTTGTACTACTTGGATTAAGCTTATACTTAACGGCATGACAATAAAGCATGATATCAATGGCCTCCAAGCGTATGAAGCAAGAAACAAAGCGTAGGTAATTGCAAAACACTTCGTGCGGATTTAGCCGCACGTCTCTTAGGGCGGCTAAACCCGAAACTTTCTAGTTTAGTGCTAGTTTTAATGCTAGTGTTAGACTAGTTTTATTTGTTATTCAGCACTAGATTATTGTATACTTTTATTGAGCTATAACGGACACTGCCTTCCTTGTATTAATCCGTTATATCGAGGTTTTACTGTAATGTCAAATTATATTAACATGCTGCATTTTATGTAAGTAGTACCTACTTACTTTGTCCTGGTTTGTATGAAAATAAATTTTTGTATATTGCATGTTAAGTGGAATTTACTGTATATTGCACATTGTATGATATTAACAAGCCCGATATATATCTATACATTTAGAAGTCAAAAATTCTTAACGTTTTAACATTTGGCCTACTACATAATTAAAATCATATAACTTAATAAATAATTAATGAAAGGTGCGGTTGCTTTCCGGTTGTAACGATGATTTCCATCCGTTAACCTTCAAGACTTATTTTTCACCTGTACACCATTAAAATCTTCTAGGTCTTGAAATGTTAATACAACATAGATAGATATGACATTCCTAAGCTTAATAGTATCTTACTTATTCGAAAAATGTTTTTATTCAATCGATTTATAATCGCTGTAGGCAATTAGATAACTACTAGCGTTGTTGGAAAGTTAACAGTACACAATGAAAGAATTAGCATTATGCCTTCAGATATATTAACGTTTTATCGACATCCAGAATAAGCTATAAACGGCATGTTTGGTGTCCTTGCACCCGACCTCCTATTTTTTAACACAATACATGAGATATTAATAGCCGGATAACAAATCGCGCCCAACCGGGTATTTTAAATCAAAAGAAAATTGCTCGGTTATAATTCACCTTATTTTATAAGGAAATCTAATGGATATTAACGGTGTGCAGGTGTTTTATATTCTGTGTAGATACACATACTTTTTTATTTTATCCTATTTCCTTTCGTAATTTACTCCTATGACATTTCACGATATTCCGATATTCGATTTACCGGTTGCATATAGCTTCTTCTACTTTTTTTTCTTGAGGTACGATAAAAACGTAGTAAAATATGGCTTTGTTATGGAATCCTTGAAAATCATCGACCCGCCTTTTAGCCTCAGGCTAAGAATATGAGTTGTCATCTCTTGCATGAATATTGTTAATCAATCGATTATGCATAGATAATTCGATTTAGATCTTTCTTTTGTATTTTTTTGCTTGAAAAAGTTTCTTTTGTTTAAGTTTTTCCGTTCATCGTTTGTGAATAATCCTTTATAGTAATGATCACAACAGCTATGCTCTGTTGTCTTCACCTGGAATAATTGCTGATAGGCGCGGACATGGGTCAGTGGTTTTCAGATATTTATCTGGCAAGTAAAACAGAAAGCATATCTCCAGTCGTGACTGGCATAAGAGCACGCCAGAACGATTACAGGTCGACGAGCGTGGATGTTTACGTCCAATGCTCCCAATTATTCCGTCTCGAGTCTTTTCCATTTAAGCTCCAATTTAAAATTGGTTCTTTTGTCCAACTTCAGACTGCAATCTACAAGGATTAACGATTTAAAAAAATGTGTGTAAGTATGCTAAGAACGACCGACGGTTACTGATTTGCAATTCAATCTACCATAAATCACTAAATGTAATTTATCTTGATATAATGAAATGTTGTAATTTGAAATAATAACTTCTGCGTAAAATAAATTTTCTATTATTATTATTATTATTACAACGAATACGATTTAAAAAACTTGTTTTTTAAACCGGATTTCTCTTGGCATTAACCTTCTTTAATTGAACCTCACCCATTTAGATATGTAAACATCATCAGAGATGTAAAAACGAAGACGTTGACGTCTTTTTCTGCGAAACCATCAATCTACGCTCGCCAAGTCACACCCAAACCAATCTTCAAGGTTTGTTCAAACTCCGCCCGGAAAAGAAAAGAAATCCCTCGAATACCAAACGAGATATTTATATAATAATGATTTACAGACTTGGATTATTGCGTATACACGCATATTCTGAAACGAATATTTTGAAAAACTGAAAAACATATTGTCCACGAACGACGGCGGTTAGAATTTAATGTCCTACAATAGTGATATATAGTCGTTCCAATAAAATGTGAATGCGAGCGCTATTTATCACTTTATAATATAATAACCCTGTGGACTTGATACCTTGAACGGGAAAATGTGATATGATATGAAAGTTAGGAATGTATCCGGTATACGGGCGGTGGGATCATAAAATTTTTATTGATGCAGAATTTGCAAATAGACCACATGAAAGTATAAATACTATAAAGAAAGAAAAAAACTAATCAAAAATACATTAGATTAACGATTCTAAGAGAAATAATTGTCATGAAGTGGTAATAAAATGTCGTATGTTTGGTTGTTTATAGCACAAAACTTGACAATTATTTGTTTAATTGAATGTTTAATTATCGTTTGAGTATTTATTTATTTGAGATAAGAGCCAAGTTATTCCAAGTATGCCAGTTCTAGTTCATAGATATATTTACATTTAACCTTGAAATGGGTTTGTTTCGAGGCGTTAAAATAAAATGTTTAATTTGTAATAATTTGCTAATACTTATTATGAAAACTTATAACGACTTGTGTACACTGGAAAATCAATAATTTCTTTAACTTATGCATTTCAATGAGTGCTGTTTACAGTCAATTAGTATTATATGTCAAAGTTCTCGAACCTCATTTCGTGTTGCTCGAACTATTAAGCGACTATCGAGACCGTTATTTCCCTATAAATTAATGCGGTGGCGCCGTAAAACGTTTTAAATGCCACACAACTTCAAGTAACAAAAAAATTATATTTGTAAGAAAAGAGTTACTGGTAATTAAATACATTAACGTATAAATTTACTATAATAGTGAACATAAACGAAATATTGGGATCAATTGGTTTTAAAACAAAGTTTATTCGAAGATTGGTGGCAAGTTCTTCTACATTACCATCGTTTGATTCAGTACTAATCGTTTCATTTGGATCAAATTCTAATCAATAGATTGATGTATTAAACCGTCTCTAGAAACGAAATTGTTATTATGGTAACTCTATCTTTGAACACCTTTGTCCCTGCTTTTTTCTGGAAACGTATGTTTTGTTTGGTAAAACTTTCCTGAGTAGCTAAATAAGGTCATCCATTTTTTTCCTAAACTACTCAATAAATGGAGGGATAGCGGACTAGTTATACTCACAACCTTATTTCACCTGAGTGTCACTAAACTTACTTAAAATAACGTTTGGTTTCTGTATTAGCATATCCATTTATAAATACGCAGATATGTTCTCATTTGTTGCTAAAATTCTGTGAGCAAATACAGTAATAAAAAGCAGTGAAGGAATTATTCTGAAATACCATTGTGAATAAATAAGAGGAATTGAGAGTAATTTCACTCAATTGGGAGCTAGTTAAAGGTATTAGTAGTAATTGTGGGTTATTTACAG